AACAGTCCATTCTATCTTTCAACTTTCTTAACTTCCTCACCATTTAGAAATTCTGTGACTGAACAGTCTTTTCCCTCTTTTTGTTTGTAGTTGTCCTTGTAACAAATTTTTCAGAGACATAATTCAACACATAACACTTGGGTATGATTCCCAGCACTGACTCTGAATGCAAGGGAGTGGAATTATCTTCTAGGAGAGGGATTAAAATATGGTAGTGGGGGTTTTCTACTTTGAAAAGGAACCCTCCTTCCTGAGAGAGGCATGCAACTTTCACTCTGTACACAGATTCCTTTAAAGGGTTTTAAAGAGGAACAGGATTAGATTTTAGAAAATGACTCCCATACGCAAACATGTATTTCTAGCTCCCTAATGAACACAACATTTTTTCCTACCCTTCTAATACCCTTAAGAAGGAGCCCTGGTAACACAGTGGTTAAGCACTAAGCTGCAAACTTTACTGTTAACAGGTTGGTGGTTCAAACCCAACTGCTCTGTGGTAGAAAGATGTGGCAGTCTACTTCTGTAAAGATTATAGCATTGGAAACCCTACAGGGCAGTTCTGCTCTGTCCCATAGAGTCACTACAAGTTGGAATCAACTCAGTGGCAATGGATTTGGTTTAGGATTAATGAACACATCTACTGAGAAGTAGTACAAATACTTCAAGCCCCTTGTGTCCAACTGCAATGGAGTGAATCACTTAATATGACCCTTCTAGCCATAGTCTTTGTGACTCCCACCAAATGACTGGGTGGGGTTCTGTGTTAGGTGCTTGTGGCCCACCAAGGGGATATGGTAACTTGCTAATAAAGATGCATGTCACCTTGTGAGGGTGGGACCATGCAAATAAGGTGTATGGAACCCTAATGTGGGGATTGGTCAGTTTTGCCATCTTGGTAGGCTTAAAATGAGCCATCCCAGGGGCAAGAAGCGGGGAATCTCACTACTATCAAGAAGGAAGAGCCATGAGTGGACCATGTCCTTTGGACCCGATATTCCTGTGCTAAACTGCCTCTATCCAAGAGACAGAGAGCTGTGACACTTGTGAGATGGCAAGAAGCAGCAGCAGAGAAACAGTGGCAGCAGAACCAGGAGCCCTGACACAAGACTCAGCAAGAAACCCCACAGGAGATAGTGCAGTGGGCTCCTGGCTGAGGGAGCAAGAAAGCTGAGTGTTTTCAGGCAGGAGGCCTGCTGGAAGAGTGAGGTACTTCTGGGCATTTATCAGCAGAGCTAAGTTTTGTTAACACTTGCCCAAGCAGGGAAACGGCCAAGGGGCTGCAGGGCCAAGAGGCTGAGGGCTAGAGGGAGGTGTGCCTGTGGACTGTTAAGAGGCTGCCCTGATTGAAGAACTGTATCTGGAGTATTACTGATCCTGAACTGTAACCTGTTACTTCCCTAATAAACTCCTTAATATTGAGTATTGTGAATTGTGTGGCCATTCCAACAAATTACTGAACCCAGCAGAGAAGTAGAGAATGCTGCATGAAGGATGGTTGATGTCAGAATTGGTAAAAAGGTTGGAGGGTGGTGGAATGTCTGACTTCTGCCTCACAGGAATAGGCCTTGGGCTATTGATGTTGATCTTGATCCTCTTCCCATTTTATGAAGTTAGAGGAGGTCAGATGCTACTCTCACGTCATTTTTGCACCAATGATTGTAGAGGATACCTCTGGTTTCTTTTTATAGCTTTAAATCAGGGCATGAATTATATACAATAAACTGCACATATCTGAATGGTATAATTTGGTCAGTTTTGACACACATGTGTATACATTAAACTATTCCTATAATCAAAATGAACATTTCTATCATCCCTAAAAGTTTCCTTGTGCTTCTTTGTAATCCACCTTCCTACTCCCTTTTTTCCAACCACTGGTCTGCTTCCTGTTATAGGCACCAACATGTCTCCCCATACTCTGATAATAGCACCAATCACAGCTGCCCAGTTCCCTGGCCCCAGAATGGGCACACCACCCAAGTTGGCTCAATCAGATTCTTTCTTAAGAGAAATAGGTATACATTCAGAACCATGTCACACAAATAGTCACATGGTGTCTGATCATGGAAATGACTCTAGAGTCCAAAGACCTGGTTTCCTGTCCCAGTAACTCTCGGTTTCTTCATTCATAAATGGTCATGACAGTAAGCATTCCTTGATGCCTTCAGACTCTAATGAGGATATCCTCTGGAGAGGATACAATGAAGGTGGCTGAAGCCATTGGCCAATGGGAGAGCCTGGAGGCGCAGTCCCTGCATTTCTGCTGCAGACATCCCTGGGCTGGTTCTCTCCCTTCCTGTGCCCTGGTTCTTCTTTCAGTGCTGTGAGATGTGTAATCTCTTCCAACAAATCCCTTTTATTGCTTGGTGATGTCAGTTGGCTGCCTGCAACCAGCCCTGATACAATGCAATTCCTTCTGCAGTCATCATTTCAGGGAATGGTACCACCAAATTTTAGTCTTAATAAAACTGGCCTAGAAGTCCTTGGGAGCTCTGGTGGCATTTAAAATTAAAGTCTTCATCATATGTCCCTTCTAACTCACCAAAAATTCCTGCCCAATCTGTTCTTTACTCAACATTGTCTCTATAAAGATCTTATCTACCTTTCTCCCCAATCTTTCTCTCTCTAATACCTTGTACAGGGCTTGGCACAGAGTAGGGGCTCAATAAATGCTTGCTGAATGAGTGAATGGTGCCTAGAAACGAGCAAAGATGGATGAGTATATGCATGTGAATGTATCAAGGTGGCAGAACTTTAGAGTTAAATTTTTAATGTTTCCACAAAGATTTCCATAGTAAGCAAATGTTAGGACTTGAATCTAGTACTTCTCACTCTAAATTTCATGCCCTTTCCACTATATTGTTATCCTTTTCCTTTATTTGGTGTTCCATTTCTTCCTTCATCCTTTTTCACACCAAGTACCAGGTTGTAAACATTAGATATAGCTCCAAAATGTAACCCCTCTCCAGCCAGAGGAGGGTGGACATGCAGTAAAATGTCTGGATTGAGAAGGGGAGCCTGTGGCCCTCACATCATCAAAGAGTTACAGCCAGAAGGTAGGGTGAGCTGGGGATCAGGGATGTGACTGAATCTTTCTGAACCTGGGGTAGAATGAATAACCTTGCCTAAGCGGTTATCAGGCAACTGGTTATTGGGCTGGAACAACTCCCGCTGTCAGACAAAGAAGCCATATGTGGTCAGAATCACACTTTATTTAACAATCTAAAAAAATCTTGGCTTTAAATCTTGCAAAAAATGAGTGGTAAATCAAAGATTTGTTCACCATCCTGAGTATGTGTGGTTATGTGTCTGTGTGTGGAAAAATATGCCTACAGATGCTTCTGCTTTTTATAGTCATTATAGCCCCATTTTAATTAATATGCATATATAAAATTTTATTATTCAAACAATTCTAAAATCTGAATTAAATATCCCTGAGTCTAATATTCTCTCCTCTCAAGCTTTCTTCAGCCTCCATTAATGCTAGGTCTTTAGAGACTACCAGCAGCATTCATACTGAAAACAAACCTAGAAATGAGTGCTGGATCTAACGTCCCTCTGGCCTACATAACCCCAAAGACTTGGTTGGGGAGCTTCTCTGAGAATATGTGTCTGGAGTCTTTGCAGTTTCTTTTCAGAATTGTGCATTTTGACTTGTGGATACCTGTAAAGCAAACATGACTGCATTAGATAGACAGGTAGACCTGTTCCTACCAACCACTCAAGGGGGTAAAAACTGAATTTGCTTCTACCAAATTATATTTCATAATGTCACTGGCTTCTATTGAGGGGAAAAAGGAAAAAAACAAAAACAAAAACAAATTCACTGCCATCGAGTCAGATCTGACTCATAGCGACCCCTCCTTGGGTTTCCAAGACAGTATCACTATGGAAGTAGATTGCCCAACCTTCCTTCTGAGGTGATGTGAAAATGGCTGGGGTTATCATACGAATTTTATTACAGATCTCAGTCATTATATTATTAAACATTTCTTTTTGAGGATTCTCAATCTCACCACCCATCCTGTTCTCTGTGTATCTGGTTCTTTTACCTCTTCTTGAGGCTCAGGTTCTGGGATGCTGCTCTCTCCTGTAACCTCAGAGACTTGAAGCTGAAGGCCTTGGCCCTGCAAAAAAAAAAAAAAAAAAGAGTTCTGCTCGTGAGAGGTAGCTCAACCTCTTCATCTCTCTCAGCTTAAGAAGGGTCTTACGCTTTACAAGGATCATATACCATATGAAGAGCAAATACACAATGCTATTTCACTAGAGTCTGAAGGCATCAAGGAAAGCTTACCATCATCACCATTTATGAATGAAGAAACTGAGAGTTACTGGGATAGGAACCAGGTCTTTGGACTCTAGAGTCATTTCCATGATCAGACACTATGTGACTATTTGTGTGACATGGTTCTGAATGTATACCTATGTGGAAGTGTGTGAGGGTATAAATATAGGTCTTTAAATCACTACCTACCAGTTTTAGACAAACCCTCCTCAAGAATGTACTACAGCTCTCACAAGTAGATAGGAAGTTAGGAAGGCAAGCGGTTTAACTGTTTCTTAGGGGAAAGTTCTAGGTGCAGAGATGGGAAACAAGGGGGTAGAAAGCCCTGTCTAGGAACTGTTATGCCTGGGGAAAACTGTGGCCTCTAAGGTTTAGAACCAATTTTTTTTTTAGTTATAATCCACATCTTATAAAAATTCATAATAAATTGGTTTCATGATATTCTTTTATAATAGACATATTTCTGATAGTGTTTTAAAATTCTGTGGTTTATCCTTTAAGGTAATTTTCCTTCTTACTACTCCCTTCTCCCTTTCCAGGCTTTTGAATTGCCTCAAAGGTAGTAAAATTACCTCTCCAAAACTTATCAAAATCTTCATTCTCTCTCAGGTGACTCAAATGCTGAACAAGAACAAATTTTTCCCCCTAATTAAATTTCTATATGTGAGGATCCATAATTCTGTTTGAGAGAAAATATGATATATGATACATGTGCAAGGGAAATGTGCATATTTGGTAGGACATAGGCTTCAGAGCACTGGTGGCACTGATGGCCTAGGATCTAGAATGCTCTAGTTGCTTAATTCCACAGGGAAAAAAAAAAAAAAGGCTCCTTAGCTAAGGACTATTCAATCTCAAAGGAGAGGCTGGGAGTGGGGAAATGTTGTTAGGTGCTGTTGAGTCAGCTTTGACTCACAGAGACCCCATATACAACAAAAGGAAACACTGCCTGGTCCTGCGCCATCCTCACAATCCTTGCTATATTTGAGCCTGTTGTAGTCACTGTGTCAATTCACCTTGTGGACGGTCTTCCCCTTTTTCATTGACCCTCTACTTTGCCAAGGAATGGACCCTTCTGACAAAATGACCAAAATAGGTGAGATGAAGTCTGGCATCCTCACTTCCAAAGAGCATTCTGGCTGTACTTCTCTCAGGACAGATTTGTTTGTTCTTCTAGCAGTCCATGGTCTTTTCTTTCTTTTTTATAATGTTTTCAATTTATTATTTTATTATTTTTAAAAATTTTTATTGCTATTTGGGTGAAAGTTTACTAAGCAAATTCATTGCCCATACAGCAGTTCATACACATTTTCTTTCATGACATTTACTACAATTCAGACAATGTAACAGCTCTCTTCCCACATCCTCCCTGTAGTTACTTCTTCTCTATATCCTTCCCTCCCATGCACTCCTGCCTCACTCCCAGCTGTCTCCCTGTGCAAACAATGCCCTTCTATAGCCCACGATTGATTGACTGCTCTAAGGAGTGACTCTACCTGATGTAAATGTTCAGCCCAACAGCCTGTCTGTTGTTTGGCTGGAAGCCCCAGGATTGAGTTCAGTTCCAGACCTGAAGGGTAACTAAAGGTCTCACCAGGTTCTATCCAGCAAACCTGGTCTTTTTTTTATGATTTCAAGTTTTGTTCCACATTTTTCTCCCACTCTATGGTAGCTGGAGCTGTGTGTTAGCTTGGCTGGACCACAATTCTGTGTGGTTTAAGCAATTGTGATGTGGGTTATTCCAATGATGGGATCAAATGTGCATGTTCCGAGCAGCCAATCCACTGAAGGGGAGTTTCCCTAGGGGTGTGGCCTGCTTCCAGTATATTTATGGACATCCGGGGAAAAGAGACACTCTTCTGTGGATCGGATTCTGTTGTACTGCCTACAATTGTCCATAAGTGAACAATCCACCATTCAGACTGGAGATCTTGGATTCGTCATTCGTTGGAGTCAACAGCCAGTATACTGCCTGCCAACCTTGAGCTCGTCAGCCCCTGCAGCTGCATGAATCGGGAAAAACCTTCAGCTTGACGTTTGATCCGAGAACTTTGGACTTGCCAGCTTCTGTAAGTGTGTGAGCCATTTTCCTAAGATAATTTTGTTTTCTCTCTATATAAGTTTTACTTCTCTAGAGAATCCAGTCTAACACACACTCTACCTAGCATCTCCTGCACCAATCCCCTTCTTAGTAGTTGACAGTGGTAGCCAGGAACCATCTAGTTCTGTTCTCATGGTCATATTGGCTGAGGATCACACAGTCTACCAGTCCCTTGGACTAACTGTTTCCATATGTCTTTTGTTTTCTTCATTCTTTGCTCTGGATGAGAAGAGACCCATCATTGTATCTAGCTGGCCACCTGCAAACTTTTAAGATCCCAGTCGCCACTCACCAAAGCAGTATATAGAACAATGTTTTTGTATAGTATGTTATGCCAATTGAGCTTGATGTCCCCTGCAACTATGGTCCTGAGCCCACAGGTCCAACTACTCATTCCCTCAGGGTAGCTGGTTGTGGCCAAAAAGCCACCACAACCCTGCCGCTTGTCAACTCTACTATACACCTAGACATTCTTAAAGCATATACAAATATGCATGTAGAAACATTGTCTGCTAACCCTATACATGATCATGGGCACACTATCCCCTGTCTAGACATACCTGATCATTCAGCCTGTCCACCTATTTATCCCCCCCCATAGCTCAATCCTTACCATCACTGACAACATAGTACTGAACATGTAAAAAGTCCATCATATTTTCAGTATTTTTTACCAACACTACAATTCAGAGGCATCAATTTTCTTTCGGTCTTCCTTATTCATTGTCCAGCTTTCACATGCATACGAGGTGATTTGAAAATACCATGGCTTGGGTCACCTTAGTCTTCAAAGTGACATTTTTGCTTTTTAACATTTTAAAACGGTCTTTTGCAGCACATTTTCCCAGTGCAATATGGCATCTGCTTTCTTGATTGCTGCTTCCATGGTGGTTGATTGTGTATCCAAGTAAAATGAAATCTCTGACAACGTTAACCTTTTCTCCATTTATTGCGATGTTGCTTATTGGTCCAGTTGTGAGGATTTCCATTTTCTTTATTTTGAGGGGGAAAAGGTTATAAAGCTCAAATACAAGAGAGAGTCTCAGTGGATAGAAGGTTGTGTCCTGTACCTCTTTTCCAGGAGGAAGGGCAGTGTTATAGACTGTTCCTCAAAACAGTCACAGTATCTTGGCTCTCATAATCTCCTTTTCAATCTGATTACTCCTAGAACGTCAACTTGTTTTAATATTCACCAGAGCGAAACAGAGGTCAATCTATGGCTATCTCCATATGAAAATCATTACAAAGTCAAATTTAAATTAATTTAGCACTTTCCATACCTTTCAATTTGTTTTTTCAGTGCAGAAAATTATAAGTGGTTCCATTTTACCTGCTCAAAATCCTGTAATTTACTCCGTGCTTATTCATGGTTTACATGTCCTGAATATCTTTTTCAGACAGTAAGCCTCAGACTAGAAACCGGCCAAAGGCAAATATTGTAGCTTGCTCTGTTAGGGCCCTCAGTGCTTAATGTGAATCCAGGCTGAGGGCATAATAATGTTAATGAGTTGGATTTTCATACCTCAGGGGAATCAGCTGAACTAAACTCATTGTTCTCTTCTTTGTCTTCTATCTTCCTTGGCTCACCAGGCTCTGAAAAAACCTGTGGATCAAAGTGGAGAATGTAAGATAAAGTCCAGAACCATCACACTTTGCATGTCATCTTTATACCCTTTGTCCATGTTGCCTCTTCTTAGAGCAGGAGGCTCCCAACTAGCCTGGTCAACCTTAAGTTAGGCACAGGTAGTGGTCAGGTTGTGCAATTTGAGGGATACCAGAAATTTAATGAAGCTCTGGTGATGAAGTGCCTAAGGCACTAGACAGCCCCATAGCTCTCATTCTGTCCTGCTTCATTGCCCAAAGTCACCTTCTCTGACCACCCTATTTAAAACTGCAATCAGCTCCCACTCTCTGTGCCCTTCCCTATTTTTCTCCACACCTCTTATCACCACTAAATTCTAAGTTTAATTACTTACTCAGTTTCTTGTCTGACTCCTCCCACTAGAACGGAAAGGAAGGGAGGGATTTTTGTTTTGTTCATGTTCATATCCCTGCTGCCTAGAAAAGTGTCTGGCACATAGTAAGGACTCAATAAATAATTATAGAATAATTATATATATATATATATATATGTT